TGCGTCGATTACACTGATCTCAACAAAGCATGCCCAAAAGACAACTTCCCATTGCCGAGAATCGACCAACTCGTGGATTCCACTTCTGGTAATCAGCTGCTTAGCTTCATGGACGCTTACTCCGGCTATAACCAAATCTTGATGCACACAGATGATAAGGCGAAAACTTCTTTCATCATCGAGAGAGGGACCTACTGCTACAAGGTCATGCCCTTTGGGCTGAAGAACGCCGGAGCAACCTACCAAAGACTGGTGAATAAAATCTTCAAGGAGCAAATCGGCAAAACTATGGAGGTATACGTGCACGACATGCTGGTCAAGGCCCCAAAACGTGCAGATCACCTCAAAAACCTCACCGTGGCATTCAGCCTGCTCTGCCAATATCGCATGAAGTTGAACCCAAGTAAATGCACGTTTGGTGTATCCTCCGGTCGATTCTTGGGATACTTAGTCACACAACGAGGAATCGAGGCACACCCATGTCAAATCAAAGCCATTCTCGAGATGAAGTCGCCTTCCACAGTGAAGGAAATACAAAGTCTAACGGTCAGAGTAGCGACCCTCAACCGATTCCTCTCGAGATCAACCGACAAGTGCAAACCATTCTTCAAAGCTTTGAAGAAAGGACAAAGAGACAAATGGGATGAGGAGTGCGAAGTAACTTTCCAGAGTTTGAAGACTTATCTCACTTCACCACCCCTGCTCTCAAAGCCAGTCCTTGGTGAGGACTTGTTCGTGTACCTGGCAGTGTCCAACTCAGCTGTCAGCTCAGCTTTCATTCGAGAAGAGCTGGGGGCCCAACATCCGGTATTCTACACGTCAAAAGCTCTCCTCGATGCAGAGACTCGTTACCCAAAATTGGAGAAACTCATTTTGGCTCTTGTAGTTTCCGCGAGAAAGCTACGACCCTACTACCAAGCTTATCGAGTCATCGTCATGGCTGACTTTCCTTTGAGATCAATCCTTCACAGCCCTGACGCTTCTCAGCGACTCATGAAGTGGGCTACAGAGCTAAGCCAATATGACCTCATCTACCGGCCAAAAGCTGCAATAAAAGCCCAGGCTTTAGCAGACTTCGTGGTAGAGTTCACCCCATCAGCCGAAGAAGAGAAATTGATCAACAAAAATAAGGAAAGTTCAAAAGTAGACGGGACCTCCGCTGGACCTAGCCAACTTAGAGACACGTGGCAGTTGCGGGTAAATGGAGCGTCAAACCAAAAAGGAGCTGGAGCGGGTGTCGTCATCATCACCCCGGATGGAACCTTGTTGGAGCAAGCTATCACTCTTGGCTTCCTGGCCTCGAACAACGAGGCAGAATACGAGGCACTACTCACCGGCCTACGCTTGGCAAAGGAACTCGCAATTAAGAAGCTAGCCATCCACTCAGATTCCCAGCTGATCGCAAATCAAGCCTCAGGTGAATACATGGCGAAGCACCCAAGGATGATTTTGTACCTTGACAAAGTCCAGGAGCTGTTGAAGGCATTTCCTACCTTCACCATCCAATAGGTACCCCAGGCAGAGAATGCACATGCAGATGCACTAGCCAGTCTAGGGTCAGCGTTGGATACCCAGTTCAGACGCTCCATCCCGGTCGAACACCTTGACCGGCCAAGCATTGAAGAAGTAGAGCCAATCGACACCATGCAAATTGACGAGGACCCCAGCTGGCAAGACCCCATCATTGACTACTTAGCGAATGGAAACCTACCCGCGGACAAGTCCGAGGCTAAGAAGGTCCAGCAGAAGGCCGCGAGATACTACATGCACGACAACAAGCTCATCTGTAGATCATACTCCGGCCCTCACCTTACCTGCAGTTCGTGGTAGAGTTCACCCCATCAGCCGAAGAAGAGAAATTGATCAACAAAAATAAGGAAAGTTCAAAAGTAGACGGGACCTCCGCTGGACCTAGCCAACTTAGAGACACGTGGCAGTTGCGGGTAAATGGAGCGTCAAACCAAAAAGGAGCTGGAGCGGGTGTCGTCATCATCACCCCGGATGGAACCTTGTTGGAGCAAGCTATCACTCTTGGCTTCCTGGCCTCGAACAACGAGGCAGAATACGAGGCACTACTCACCGGCCTACGCTTGGCAAAGGAACTCGCAATTAAGAAGCTAGCCATCCACTCAGATTCCCAGCTGATCGCAAATCAAGCCTCAGGTGAATACATGGCGAAGCACCCAAGGATGATTTTGTACCTTGACAAAGTCCAGGAGCTGTTGAAGGCATTTCCTACCTTCACCATCCAATAGGTACCCCAGGCAGAGAATGCACATGCAGATGCACTAGCCAGTCTAGGGTCAGCGTTGGATACCCAGTTCAGACGCTCCATCCCGGTCGAACACCTTGACCGGCCAAGCATTGAAGAAGTA